TCTTCTACGTTTTTCACAACCATTGAAATAAAGTGAAACATTTGACACTCAAGTATATTTTTATAATGTTCATCAATTGTTCTTGAGTGTTCATCATTTTATTCATCCAAACTATATAATTAGGTTATTCTTAACTTAATTATTAGTGTTATTGAGAGATCTAGGATCAACAATTGGTATCAGAGCAAATTGATTGTTTTTCCAATCAAAACGATCATTAAAATCTCTCAATCTCGCCTTTTTCATTCTTAAAATTCATAAAAGATCTTCTCTAAAAACGTAAGTTCTCTTCCAAATCTTAAATGGTTAATTGGAATTCCGCTTACAATGTTGGTTCCCTCACCAAACCTCCAACTTTTCAAAGAGAAGAGTACCCACATTGGATGATACGGATGGTAAACTTTTTGGAAGGGATGGACAGAAATCTTCTGCGATCTGTCATGGAGGGTCCCTACATTCCACAGACTCTTGTTCCAAGAGTCCCAGGAACAAGCACCACAACAGAAATTCCTGCCTACTACATGCCCAAGGACGAGAAGAATTGGGATGAAGACGATATGGAGCGAGTGGAGACTGACAAGAAGGCCAAAAGACTAATCATCATGGCCATTCCCAATGAAATCTTCCAATCCCTTGATGCATGTTCCACAGCAAAGGAACTATGGGATGAGATGGCAAGCCAATTAGAAGTAGGAGCAAAAACGAAGAAGAATCGTAGAGCCCAATGTCTCAGCAAATATACCAACTTCGAGGCTCTTCCTGATGAACCGATTTAGAAGACGTATGATTGTTTCAGCACATTGATTAATCAATGTCATTGAAACGATATCTCCAGGACGAAGTAAGAAAATAATGTTTTATTCCTTAAAAGTCTCGGCGATGAGTGGACACAACTGTCGATGTCTCTTCAAGCAAATCAGGACTTAGACGACTGGTCACTTCATGATGTATATGGAACGCTTGATGCACAAGAGAAAGATATCATGAAGAAGAAAGTATCCATCGGTGGACCCCTTGCTCTTGCTGCTGAAGAAAAGGATGTTTCTAGGACCTCTACCAGAGACCACAAGAAGAAAGGAAAGAAAGCACTGGTAGCAGAATCAGAATCTGAGGATGAGATATCTGAATCAGATGATGATATCAAAGCCTTTGCTAAATCTCTGGCCTTGATCACAAAACAGTTCCAGAAGAAGTTCATCAAAAAGCCCTATGAACGAAGAGACTTCAAAAGGGAGAAGTACCAGCCATCCTATGAAAAGAAGCCATCAAAATTCTATCAGAGGGAAGAAAGAAGAGATGGAAGAGAAGATAGAGAAGATAGAAGAGAGGAGAAGAAATAAGACAGAGACGGAAGGAAAAATGACCTTCGCTGCTTTAGGTGCGGGAAAATCGGTCATTTTTCCAAAGAGTGCAGAGGACGACTGGTAAAGGATGCTGATTACTACAAGAATAAATATAAATACAATCCAAGAGAGCGAAGCCTGATGGGTGAAAAAGAAAATTGGGTGTCTGATTCGTCATCCGATGAAGAAGATAAAGCACTCATTTGTCTGATGGTCACGATCAATGCAGAATCCGCCTTTGATTTTGATGACCAAGTATGTGAGTCTTCTTTCGATGAAACCAACTCTGCTCCATCTAAGCTAGAGTTAAGGGTAATAAAACTTTCAAAGGACTTCTTGAAACTAAAAGAAAAATTAAATTTTGAAAAATCTGAAAGACTTAAAGCAAAAAAAGAAGTCAGTTTCTACAAAAGAGAGACTGATCTTCTAACCGAAGAAAAAGCCGAACTCGTCAAGGAAAAGACTCGCATCGCCTCTCTTAAAAAATCAGAGGAAGAAAAACTTCTGAAATTAAACAAGCGAATAACCAAAGACTTAGAAAAGAAAGCAACGACCTTAAAAGAATCAGAGGTAGAGAGACTTAACTCAGTAGTTCTCAAAGATTTCTTTCAAAAAGAAAGGGAGATTCTTCACCAGAAGCTTCGAACCAATGAACTTCTGATGAAGAAATACATGGATACCCAAAATGTGTACGAAAAGTTAAACGGTCAAACGGACACTCAAGGGATTGGATTCAATGAATTGGACTCCTTCATCGAAACAAAGAAATCCACCCTTGAATCCACTTTCAAACTTGGATGCATTCAAAAACCCGACTTTTTCCCGAAACCTAAAGCAAAATTTAAAAGAGTTAAAGTCGATGGAAAAACTATCGTTTTAAGACAGGATTTTGAAAACGTGGTGTACGAGAGCAATACATTTAAGAATTCTGATGAAAAGAACGATGCCTCCAAATCAGAGACCAATGGAAACCCTATGGTTAAATCAAAGTCTCTGGTTGTCAATCCCACTTCATCAGCAAGTATTGTTGATGAAATGGAGAATCTTAGTAAGGAACCGTCAGCTGATGAATCGATGAACCATCCAAGTAACATTGGAAGTTCGTCTAAGTCAGAAACGATGGAACCCCCAACAGATCACTGTAAAGCATCAACCTCTGAACCCACACCTCCCACAAACATCCATGATAATTTTGATTTCGAGAAATCAGCGAGAGACTTTCTTGATTATGAATCTGAAGAAGAGATAGTCTGTGAATCACCAAAGATCATTGAGGATAAGAAGCCTCAAAACTTCAAACCCTCAATGAAATCTGATGTTCCACCATCAATGAAAACTTCAGACAAAGGAAAGGGAAAGCTGAGCAATATCAATATGCTAACGATAACTCACAAGGCCCAAGTACTTTTTATAAGTTCATTAAGTTTACTCACGAGCAAAAACGAAAGTGGCCTTCCTCTGAGAATTCTAACCACCACTTTTTCTCTCATTCAGCTGAAGAAAAGCAGTCCTTCCTTAGAAGTAAAGAAGTAAAGACCAAGACCTCCACAAATAAAAAATCTGAACTAGATAGGAAGTTTGTAAATACGACCGATGCTAGGACAGGATTTTCATCCCCTGCATTTACTTCTTCATTTTTATCGAATAAAAAGAACGTTAGACATTCATATCCAAAGAATCATAATTGCCAATGTTTAGCACATTTACAAAACCTGAGGAACCACATGTTGACACATCGTTGCATATTCTCCAAACACGTCTATCGCTATAATGTTAAAACCAATGAAAACGTGAAAAATCCCAAGTCTAAGGGCAAGGGAAATGCAAACAAACCCAAACCTGCAAAGGCTAAGGGTGATGAAAAGAGAGAGGCATCTTCCACTAATAAACGTGGACCCATTATGAAATGGGTACCTAAAACCCCTTAATTTGTCTTGTAGGACCAGCATGTGCAACCATGATATATGGATTGAGGTTGCTCCAAGCACATGACTGGTGACAAAAGTCAGCTGTCCTTTTTCATCGAGAAATATGGAGGCTCTGTCACTTTTGGAGACAACAGCAAGGGTACTATCAAGGGATATGGCACTTTCATAAATGGCAACATCTCCATCAGCAAAGTGGCTTATGTTGAAGGTTTGAAGCACAACTTACTAAGCATAAGCCAGTTCTGCGACAACGGTCTTGAAGTCAGATTC